GTTAAAAATAAGGAAAATGACATATTTAACCTATTTTGTTAATCGTTTAAAGTTGATTGTTGTAAATGTTTATAATAAAAAAAAAAAATTTATTTTACCATAACTTTTAGCTCAATTGGTAAGTTTGACATTGACATAATTAAATAGAAAATTTTATGACAATTAAAAAAATTGTATCGTTAAGATCAATATGCAGTCAGAAAGTTTTATAATTACTATTTATTGTAAATTTATCAGAAAAGCTCAATATTTTTTTGCATTTTTATGGTAATAGATAACTTAAATAGAAGTAATAGTAATAATTTCCTAGGAACTTTTGTTGTTTGTTGAAAAGATTCTATAATTGAAATATTGAGAACTTAATTAATTTTAATGATTTACTTTAACTAAATGTACCAATCAAAACAAAGTTGTTAAAAAGATTTACTCAATTGAGTGTATTATAAAATTTGATTATATTTGTAAAAATCAATTGTTAATTCAGGAGAAAAAACAATCATTTTTTTTAGAAATGATTTATATAGCAACATGTTACAAAAAAAAATTGTAATATTATAGTCTAGTAGTAGCACACACAAATAGAGTAAAAAAATTATTAAATTACAAAGTAAAATGATTTAATTTTGTAGTTGAAACCTATCATATCAAACTTCATTCGTTAATAAATATTTTGAAAACATTAGAAATTAATGATTTTAATTGTCTTTATGGAGACGATGTAATAACTAACTGTTTAATTGATAAATTAGAATTTTTTTTTCAATTTTTGAGAGTAATATCTTCAACTAGATACGAATTGTAGTAATTTGACGTATCGTTGAAAAAAGTAGGTCAAGTTAGAGCAGAGAAAATAAATGATAGTCACAAAAAAATATCTTCTCAGCTTTGCATCGAACCGAAAACTTAAAATATAGTAAAATAATTTTAATACGAATAAGAAATTTTTTCTTGCAAAGNAATATAGTAAAATAATTTTAATATGAATAAGAAATTTCTTCTCGCATGAGGCGACTAAAGTGATGGGATCCTTGATCTTTATTGAAGTTATTGAATTTAAATGAGATAAAAATCAAATGAGTTGAAAATTTATTCTAATTTAAAAAGAATTAAGAAAAAATGCAAAAAATTTTCTTGCCTCACGCGGATTGGAACACTGTAACCCAAGCGCGTAAGACACAAGTTTAACCGTTCGGCAACCGTACACCACTAACTCACATTGAAAAAATTGGCTATTTAAGCTAATTCAAATTTCAAAATTATTTTCACGACTTAAAAAAAGTAAAAAACTTTAAATAAGTTTACCTTTCTATGCTATATCAATTTGATTTATATAAGATTTATGAAAATCTGTACTCCCCTTGTCAGGTATTTTAAAATAAAATAAAATACAAAACCCAGAATTTTAACACAAAAATAGCATATTTTTGCATACGGTAGTCATTTTCACCATGAAGACAAGTCCAGAGGTCAAATTTTTTTTTTTCAAATTAAAGTATATTACATAAGCTTTAATTTAAGATATATATAAAAGTGTCAGTCTTTCCGGAACATTTTCAAAAGTTAAGTTGAAAAAGTTATTTTTTTGTAAAAAAGTTACCATTTTGAAACCCCATCCTTTGGGCTGTTAAAGGGTCAAATGTTCACAAAAATATATAAAATGATAGGTAATTATCTAAGGTATCTATAAAAAAAAAAATTATATTGATTCGGTCATTTTTAAAAAAGTTATGGCAATTTTAAGTAAAAAAAATTGAAAAAATATCGAAAATTAGCGATTTTTAAATTTGTAATTTTTTGGGGGATTTCCCCCGTTTACGGGGAACGAGGGAATTTTTTTCAATTTTTGAGGGTAATGTCTTCGACTAGATACGATTTGTGATCTTTTGACATATTGTTCATCAAAATCGGTCCAGCGAGAGCTGAGATTGAGCGTTCACAGACACAAAAAAAAAAATTAAAAATTAAAAAAAAAACACATCATAGTAAAATTAATACCTTCTCAGCTTCGCATCGAAGCTAAAATGGGTGCGAGGGAAAGTAGTAGATTTAGCCAGTACTCCGAGGTCTTTTATTGTGGCATTCTCTATGCTATATTAGTTTGATAAGGCCTACACCTGTGCTAAGCGAAATAAATAACCTTCGAAAAACTTAAAATAGCTTTTATCCTATTTGCAGCGAATGGAATGCGAGATCATGTTCGAAGTACTGTTTCACACGTTTCGTAGAGCTTAATTGATGTTAGTCAATCGCTTTAACCTTATAGGTTTAGAGATATTATTGATTTCAACTGAAAACTTTGTCATTTATCTCAAAAACTAAACAGGCAATTATGGATTTTTATTTTAGTGTTAGATTAAGTTAATAATGAGCTATCAAATGTAATATTAATTTCGAAAATAGAGCCATATACCAAAAGTCAGGGAAATTTGAATAAACATAATTATAAACTATTGTACGTCGGTAGTATCCCGACGTAGACACAAAAATAATGCTCAAATTAAATAACTTTTTTAGAGGACGAGTTCGTCGTTTTTAGCTTTTCTCAGGTCCTCCCGTTGGGTACTTTGGTTAACCCCAATCCCTCCAAGTAGTGAACTACTAAATGGGTAGAGTTTAGACCCGTCAGCACGATTTAGCTTAAAGGAAACAGATTGAGGGGTGGCTTTTCACTATATCTACTAAAAGACGATTAAGAACAATTTTGTTGTAGATTCTTTTATTCTTAAATTAAAATAAATAATTGCAAATCTTCTCATGAGAATAACATTTTAATATATAAACACACAACACAACTCGGATACGTCGAACGCCGGTCAACAACTGATTACAACGAAATTTTTAGAGAAAGTGTACACCACATCCTCCCCTCAATGTATATACAATAAAAACATAAATATTTTTTTTAAATATAAATAAATACATTTTTTTATAAAATATTAAATGTTAATCATTATGACATATAATTATTAAACATGTAAACATATAATAATATTTCATGACACATAAAATTAAACATATATTAATTTAAAATATTAAGTATACTATTTAGTTAGACATAGCTTCTCATGAGGACCAAGTTTACGTTCCTGAGGTTCATAATTATTTTTTGATTCAATACTGTTATTATTATAGGATAAATTGTTTTTATTTCCCCATATTACCCCCTGTTTTAGTATTAAATGTTCTCTAGTCCTACGGTACCTCACTCCATCTTCCCCTGCCACAATAAAAGACCTCGGATGACTGGCTAAATCTACTACTTTCCCTCGCACCCATTTTTAATGTTATATTCTGTCTTAAATAACACATTATCCCTAACTTGTAACTCTTTAAGATTTTTACCATGATAATTTTTTTGTTTTTTTAATCGAATTCAACTGAAAACTTTGAAGTCATTTATCTCAAAAACTAAATGGCCAATTACGGATTTTTATTTTTGCGATAGAATAAGTTAATAATGAGCTATCGAATGATATATGAGTTTCGAAAATTGAACCACATACCAAAAGCCAGGGAATTGACCCTGGGCCCTTTTTTTGGTACAATTAGGAGCAGACAGCGTGTTGAAATAAATAGAAAAGGAGAAATGATAGAGGAAGAGGGGGATGGCAAAGATGTGGTGATGATGGTAGGAAAGGGAGTATAAGTTATTTGGATTGTGTTAGATTCATTCATAACATCTTAATCCTACCACTTACCCACTCGGTCCTATTTTTAATATTACATGAATATAGTGCATGTCTTACGACTATACTTACCTTGATATTCAAATAGACTCGTAGGTAGATGGTGAATTGTGATATTCCTTGTTGACGTCGATATTTTAAGTTAATTAAAATAAATAGAAAATACTGTATGAGAGGCAACATAATGAGTTTATTTCTATGAATTTTATTAATTATTTTAACAAATGTATATAAGTCTTGTATTTAAAATTAACAAAAGTAACGTGAATTTTACATTATTAACTTTTAATATGAAAGTGTAAGATTATGGGGGAATAATAAGTGTTTGATATTGGGGAAAAAACGCTAGATATATTTGTTATAGAATAGGTGGTGGGCGGTGCAGCTTATGTTTTTGTTTGTAAGTTAGTCGAAAACCGGACAGCGAATGATGAGTCCGGCTCACTTACGCGCACCTATAGTTTTTCGTATATAAAATGTAAAAGATATAAAATAAAAAATACAGTCCATATTATAGAATAAAAATAAAGTGTTTTTATTCAAAGTTTAAAATATCGTAAGCTACCGATCAAATGGTCCATCGGCCACGGATTTGTAATTAATAAATTGTGCGAAAATCGTAAATTTTATCGTATGGTGTGTGCGAAGTGTGTTGTAGTGTAGAGTTTCACTACTTATAAAAATCGTAGACCTAACCAGGACAAGTTTAGCGTAGTCCAATTGGTCAAAATTATTATTCGAATAAAGTTAAGCGTATTTATATAAATCAGTAATAGTATAAAATTTAAAGTTTGCGGTTTCGAAAAGATTGAGAAGAAAGCATCGCAGTACCGCTTAGAAGCCAATTGTAGGAGTAATTTTCCAAAAAAGAAAGAAAAAGTCATTAGTAAAAGATTAATCGAAATAAGCAAATAAGTCGGTAAGTTCCTTTGTATTTGCTTCCTTTAAAAAGAAAAAATAGATTAACTATTGTTTGAGTCAGCTGGGTTTGCCGTGTGAGTTTGGTGTATAAATAAAATATTTATACATAATATTATTTGATATAAGCGAAATCGTCCGGTTAAAAACAGNGAAATCGTCCAGTTTAAAAAATATTTGTTTGGTGAGGGTATAATACACAATAGTAAAGTTAGTTAATTAAGTATATCAGCGCGGAGTGTATAACAATAAAAAAAAAAAAGAAATAAATAATAGCCATACAATAGCTACAGATAAGCAGTAGTAGTAACAGCTNTACAATAGCTACAGATAAGCTGTAGTAGTAACAGCCGTAAAATTGTGAGAGATAACATGGCAGAGTTAAGAAACCTAATAATGCGGAGAGGGCAACTGAAATCGTCACTGACGAGGTTTGAGAAGTTCATAAGAGAATTAAGTGAAGGCGATGAGATAGATCAACTAAAATTAAGGAGGCAAAAGATAGAAGATATATGGAGCGAGTTTGATCAAGTTCAAAGTGCCATTGAGATAGAATCGGAAGAAGAAAGTCAAGCGATTTATCGAAAAGAATTTGAAGACGTATTTTTTAAAAGTGTTGCTGCAGCTGATAGTTTTATTCAAAATAAAGAAACCCCTAAAGTAAATAAGAGAGTCCCACAAATTATAGAGGCCGACGAACATAATATATCGTTATCTAAATTGCCTATAAATTTACCACCAGTAACGTTACCAAATTTTTCCGGTGATTATTATGAATGGTCAACATTTTATGATTTGTTTAATAATTTAATTCATACAAATACTAGTTTGATGCCGATTCAAAAATTTTTTTATTTACGCGGTTCGTTGAGCGGAGATGCCTTAAATTCGATTAAATGTCTAAGTATGTCAGCTGAAAATTACACTGCGGCTTGGAAAACATTAACAGAGCGGTTTAATAACACAAAGGTTATCGTACAAAGTCATGTAAAAGCGATTTGCGACATGGAACTCTTGAGTAGTGAATCTGCTATAAAACTAAGGCAATTTATAGATAAATTAAGTAATCATATTCAATCTTTGAGAACACTTGGGTACGAGCCGAATAATTGGGGTCCGTTAATGGTACATATGGTTATGATAAAATTGGATAAAATGACTTTACGCGCTTGGGAAACGTCCGCTTGTCAAAAAAAAGTAGCCGAGCCAAATGAATTATTAGAATTTTTAGAAAGCCGTTTTAAAATATTAGAATCGATGGAAACATCAAAAACGATCGCTACGCGTGTTCTAGGAGTAAATGATCTAAGCAGTAAAAATCAGAATATAAAGAAAAATTTATTTACTAAATCATTTGCAGTAGCTGTTAAGTCATTAGAATGTTTTGTATGTAAAGGTCCACATACAATTTATCACTGTCCAACTTTTTTAGCGTTATCCGTGCAAGAGCGTATAAATAAAGTAAATGAATTAAAACTGTGTCGAATTTGCTTAAGGTTGCATTCGGGAAAAAAATGTTTATCGAAATATTGTTTGTGATANCGGGAAAAAAATGTTTATCGAAATATTGTTTGCGATGTTCAAAACCACATAATTCTTTGTTACATTTCGTTCAGCGCACGCCACCCATAATAGCTGATCTGAACGTTAACAATATCACAGCGATATCCGAATCGGTAGAACCGACAGCAACAACTAGCGCGCACAACGCCATAATCCCTACCTTAGAACAAGTCGTTTTATCAACCGCGGTAGTATCAGTACGGGACAATAATAATAAAGTACAACCATGCCGTCTTTTATTAGATTCCGGTTCACAGAGCAATTTTATTTCAGAAACATTAGTACAGGAATTAAAATTGAAAAAGAGAAAAATAGCTCATACAGTAATCGGTATAGGCGAAACTATAAAAAATATACCCGCGTCAGTTGAAATACTAATTGAGTCGCATGTAAATCNGTCAGTTGAAATACAAATTGAGTCGCGTGTAAATAATTTTTGTTTAAATATAAGGTGCTTAGTGGTACCCAAGGTAACTGGTAGTTTACCTACACGGAGGATAAGTGAAAATGTGCAGATGCCCGGTCATATAGTATTAGCAGATCCATTGTTCAGAAATCCCCAAAAGGTTGACGTATTATTGGGGGCGGAACAATTTTATGAAGTTCTCGAAACTGACCGGTTAAAGATATTTGAAGGCGGACCGACGGCTCAAAAAACAAAGTTTGGCTGGGTGGTTTCCGGGCCCATTCCTGAAAGGATTTACAATAACCTTAATACAAATAGTAAGAATTTTCAAATGAGTGAAAAATGTGATAATTGTAGTAATCGACTAGAAGGATTANTGAAAAATGTGATAATTGTAGTGATCGACTAGAAGGATTGTTAACAAAATTTTGGAAATTAGAATCGATAGAAAAGGAATACCCTTTTACTTTAGAAGAAAATAACTGTAAAGAAATATTTGATCATACAGTAACGCGTGATGAAACTGGCAGATTTATAGTAAAATTACCATTTCGTAATCAACTAACTGGTCTCGGTGGTTCTTATGAAATAGCCAAGCGTCGATTGTTATGTTTAGAAAAACGATTTAAGAGCAATGTAAAATTAAAAGCTGAATATTCAAAATTTTTGTTAGAATACGCAAACTTAGGACATATGACTGAGGTAATCAATGAAAAGGAACAGGACAAGTCATTATGTTGTTATTTACCTCATCACGCGGTGTATAATGAAAATAGTACTACTACCAAAATTAGGGTAGTATTCGACGCATCGTGCAAAACAGAATCGGGTGTAAGTTTGAACGATTGTCTATTAAAAGGACCAACTATTCAAGATGAATTAATATATATTTTAGCCAGGTTTCGCACACATAAGTTTGTTTTAACTGGTGATATTGTAAAAATGTACCGCCAAATAAGAGTCACCGAAGCAGATAAAAGGTATCAACAAATATTATTGCGTGAAAATCCAGAGGATGCCATTCGGACGTTTAAATTAGAAACTATAACTTATGATACAGCACCAGTTAGTTTTTTAGCTACTGCTTGTCTAAAATGGTTAGCTGACNTTTAGCTACTGCTTGTCTAAAAAGGTTAGCTGATGAAGAAAAAACAAATTATCCCAAGGCATGTGAAGTACTTGGTCGTGATTTTTACATGGATGATTTACTTACAGGAGCGCAATCGAGAGAAGAAATTGTTAATTTACAAGGTGAGCTTATTGCTGTATTGAAAAAGGCTGGAATGGAGTTGTCAAAATGGGCGTCTAACATACCTGATTTATTAAGTGATAGTAATGATCGTATGAAGGTAAAATTAAAGGAAACAGAAGGCCTATTAAGTTCAAATTCAAAGTTAAATAGGGTTTTAGGTTTATTATGGGAAGCACGCAGTGATGTTTTTAAATATAATGTGTTAAAAATGACGGCAGATAGTAATATTACAAAGAGAATTATTCTATCTTATATATCAACAATATTTGATCCATTAGGATTTGTCGGTCCGGTAGTTTTACGATGTAAGCTACTGATACAGAAATTATGGCAATCGCCTATCGGGTGGGATGAGCCGTTATCTGAAGAATTAGTAAATGAGTGGCGTAGTTATAGCGGCGATTTATTATTATTGAATAGCATATCGATAGCAAGACGGTGCGGTGAAATAGATAATTGTACTGATATACAGGTACACGGTTTTGCCGACGCATCATTAAAGGCCTACGGGACATGTATATATTTACGATGCACAAATAATAATGGAAATCGTACAGTACACCTTATCGGCGCGAAGTCCAAGGTAGCGCCATTAAAAACAATAACATTACCGCGTTTGGAGTTATGTGCTGCGTTATTGTTAGTGCGACTCGTTAATAAATTTATACCAAAATTAAATTTAAATATCCAGAAGAAAATGTTTTGGTCTGACTCTAGAGTCACATTAGCATGGATAGCGTCCTCATCCAGTCAATGGAAAACTTTTGTTGCAAATCGAGTAGGCGAAATTCAAAGTTTAAGTGATCGGACGGAGTGGGCGCATGTAAGGGGCGAAGAAAACCCAGCGGATATTTTATCGCGCGGTAGCGAAGTGAGGCAATTGGTGCAAAATGAACGATGGTGGAGTGGTCCAGAATGGCTCAGTAAAGACGAAGATGAATGGCCTATTAATTCTGATAGTCTAATATTAAATAATAAAGAATTGGAAGTGGAAGNACTGATAGTCTAATATTAAATAGTAAAGAATTGGAAGTGGAAGCTAAAGGCGTTCAAGCATTGTCAAGTATTGCAAGGTCGGAATTTTCGTTATTAACGCGATGTTCTTCATTAAATAAAATATGGCGTATTATTGCATATTGTTTGCGATATAGAGATCGTATAAAAAAAGATTTAAATGGTAAACCATTAAATAGAATGACAGGTCCTATTTTAGTACACGAGGTGGAACGAGCTGAAAAGACATTACTGCATATAGTTCAAAATGAATATTTTTCTCAAGAAATAAAATGTTTAAAAGGGCCAAATGGTCAAGTATCACAAAAAAGTAAACTTTTTCGCCTACAACCGTTCTTGGATAAAAGTGGATTACTTAGAGTGGGCGGAAGATTAAAAAATGCAGCATCATTAGAGATCTTTCAAAAATATCCACTGATTATACCGGCTAAGAGCACGTTTACTAAATTGTTACTTAGAAATGAGCATGAAAGATTATGTCACAGCGGTCCACAAACTGTTTTAGCGTCCATAAGGCAAAGATATTGGCCATTAAATGCAAGGAATACAATTAGAGGAATTATATTCAAGTGTTTGCGTTGTTTTCGACAACGACCCATCATGGTGCAGCCCATAATGGGGGACCTGCCAAGCGATAGAGTAGAACCTTCTCGAGCTTTTAAGATAAGTGGAGTAGATTTCTGGGGGCCAGTGATGTTAAAGAGTAGTCTAAGAAAAAATGCGCCTTTAAAAAAGGCTTATGTTAGTGTGTTCGTGTGTTTTTCAACTAAGGCCGTACATATTGAGTTGGTAAATGGATTAAGTACGCAGGACTTTATATAAGCATTACAGAGGTTTGTGGCTAGGAGAGGAAAAATTAGTTATTTCATTCAGAAGCGCATAAAAGGAGTTATTTGAGCATTTTACAAATGAACGTATTGAGTGAAAGTTTATACCTCANTACAAATGAACGTATTGAGTGGAAGTTTATACCTCCGCGCTCTCCACATTTTGGGGGATTATGGGAGTCTGCTGTTAAAAGCATGAAAGGGCTCATAAAAAGAATACTGGGCGAATCGCATTTAACGTTCGACGAAATGTACACCGTGCTCACGCGCGCTGAGGCTTGCCTGAACTCACGTCCTCTCACTCCTTTGTCTTCTTGTCCAACCGACTTAACTGTGCTAACGCCTGGTCATTTTTTAATTGGTGAAGCATTGACTACATTACCAGAGAGAGACGTAAGCGATACTCCGTCAAATCGATTAGACCGTTGGCGTAGAGTAAATAAGTTTTCTCAGCAAATATGGAAACGCTGGAGTAGTGAATATCTTTCACAACTTCAAACTCGCTACAAATGGGCAAAGGAAAAGGGACCTAAACTGTCAGTGAGTTCCGTCGTCTTAATAAAAGAAGAAAATCTCAGCCCACTGTTATGGCGATTGGGTCGAGTATTAAGTGTTATATGTGGTAAGGATGGCGTGATACGCACAGCAAGGGTAAAAACCACTTTTGGTGAATACTTACGAGCAGTTCGAAATTTAAGTCCATTGCCAATTGAAGTCGATTGATTTATTGAAAATTTATTGTTTGTCAATTTAAATATATTTGTAATCCATTTGTTATTTTAGAATGTTAGTTTGTTGTTTTTGCAATTTTTTTTGTGTTTTATATATATATATATATTTGATTTGTTAGATAAATTTTATATTGATTTTGGTTAATCAAAGTGGGCGGTTTGTTTGATATTGGGGAAAAAACGCTAGATATATTTGTTATAGAATAGGTGGGGGGCGGTGCAGCGTAGGTTTTTGTTTGTAAGTTAGTCGAAAACCGGACAGCGAATGATGAGTCCGGCTCACTTACGCGCACCTATAGTTTTTTCGTATATAAAATGTAAAAGATATAAAATAAAAAATACAGTCCATATTATAGAATAAAAATAAAGTGTCTTTATTCAAAGTTTAAAATATCGTAAGCTACCGATCAATAAGTGAGAATGAAAGTGAGAGTATGCGAGTGAGAGAAAGTGCTAATTTTACCAGCCCTTTTATATTAAACTAGTTGGTAAGGTGATGAAGGGAGGCTAGTTTTTCTTAAAAATTTAACTATTTAATTCTGCCGTCTGTTTAAAATTGATAATTATTTATGTGTAAAGATTATTCTAAAAGTTTCTTGAATAATCTCGATTCTTCTATTTTGATTCATTACAGTATGAGGTGAACAGAACCCAGATAACAATTTTTTTAACACAATTCTTTTTGCAACTGAATGACTCAATTAAAATTTTTCGGCCATAAATATTTTATGATTTACCTATTAAATTAATTTTCAACATAATTAATGCTAATTCCTATGTAATTGTCGAGCTATAATATATTCATAATAAAAGCTAATAAAAAACAAAAATACATAATTAATGTTCAATTTTAATTTATGATTTGTTTAATAAATGATGAAATAATAAAAAAACTTATATTTGATCGATTTTTAAAGTATATGATCTTGANAAATAATAAAAAAACTTATATTTGATCGATTTTTAAATTATATGATCTTGATATCTGTATATGCCTATAAAATTATAATCATTCAATTTAATTTAAAATCATTTTTGGGACAGTTATTAGAAAAAAAAAGTTTCTAAAAAAATATAAAAAGTAATGATTATATTGCATCCGAATAATTATATAAGTTTCTACTTGGAGCAATTGATAGTTGCAAAGAGTAATATTCTGATACAATTAAAAGTATTGGCACAAGTATTCGCAACATATTTTATGGAAAATGAAGAATTGACAAAATATGATTTTCAATATGAATTTGCAACTTCCGATCTTTACGATAATCCCATACTACCACAAGATTTAATAAATAAATTATTAAAAGGATTTCCCAAACATAAAAAAAATGAAAAGTCATACAATTTTCATGATATACCAGAAAATCTAGATAAAATAAAGGAAAAGTTAGAAATAATTTTTAGTTTAATTCACGCAGAATATAACACAATTGTTTAATTAGATTTGTAACTATTCATAAATTATTTGAAACGTGTATTATAATATTAATAGTAATTTGTCAAACTAAATGACATCATATTATGTTTTGCGAAAAATATCTAGTATCAGTTTGTATTTTTAAGTTTCTATAATTACAGTACAATTGTATAAATATGTCTCACGCAATATCATTACAAAAAAAAAACTTAACATTATTTATTTCTTTCAAGAAATTGTAGTAATCTTCGATTTATAAAAAAAAAAAAAAAAAATTAGTCCTACCACCCACTCAATATAATACTATATAATTATAATTTTTTAAAATGGAAAAATAAGTGTTTAACAAATCTTTAAATAAGTAAATTATCTTAGTTAATATAATATTAATGCATAATGAAGTGGTATAAGACTGAATTATTGAAAATAATTATATAGGTTGTAAAATTATACAGACTGTTTAACACTTAAGGAAACAAGTCAGTGGTTACAAAAATGAAACGAATAGAAACCCTTTTCCTTATTTGCCAACTTATTACTTCCTTATATAACCTTCTGAAAAGAAACACTATATTATGTTTTATATGTTTAATGATATTACATAACTTATAGTTAAACAATCACCCTGTAAACTTCAACTACTATTTTTCATAAGTTACCGTATAATTTTGAGATAAAATATAAAATATTACATATTTTAGCTTCGATGCGAAGCTGAGAAGGTATTAATTTTACTATTATAATTTTTTTTTTGTGTCTGAAACCACTTTTTCTCAACTCTTACCGAACCGATTTCTTTCAGACATTACCCTCAAAAATTGAAAAAATGTCGGACTTTATTTTGTTTTCATTGTGAAAACTGACATCTAAGTTAATAAAAAAAACCCAGCATAGGGGGGTCGCGGCACAGTTGTGACGTGGTATAGTTGGATCAAGTATAATGATATCTGACAGTGATTAAAATCACTATCAAAAATAAACGCTTCGATGCAAATCTTTAGATAGTGTTTAATTTTAAAAAAATTGGTGTTTTATTCCAAAAGCTACTTGATTTGCTGGTTCCTTAATATCTCGATTAAGATAAAGTATGTCGAATGAAGAAGGGTTTATTAAAAAAAAATTATTTCTCATAAAAAATTGTGTGGATCCATAAACTTTTCAATAAGTTATAGCATTATAAAGTTAAATATAATATGAATAATAAAATCGAGAATTATCACACGAAAATAGCATTCGGTAGCCATTTTCGCCGCGAAGAAAAATCCAGAGGTCAAATTTTTTTTTTTTCAAATTAAAGTATATTACATTAGCTTTAATTTAAGATATATATAAAAGTGTCAGACCTTCCGGAACATTTTCAAAAGTTAAGTTGAAAAAGTTAATTTTTTGTGAAAAAGTTGTCATTTTAAATCCCCCTCTGTGGGCAGAAAAAAGGTCAAATTTACAAAAAAAATATACCAAATGATAGGTAAAGACATCAAGCATCTATATAAAAAAAAATTATATTGATATATTCATTTTTGAAAAAGTTACGGCAGTTTTTAGTAAAAAAAATTGAAAAAATTGAAACAAATCATAGTAAAACCAATACCTTCTCAGGTTCGCATCGAAGCTAAAATACGATTTTTGTTAATAAATTCGTTTTTATATTTTAAAATTTATTATGCTATAACTTTTAAAGATGGATACTTATAATTTTTTTAAGATAAGTACTTTTTATATTCTTCTTTTATGCAACATACATTTTTTTTTTAAATATAGAAAACAAAATTACAAACAATTTTGTTTTTATTTTTTTTATCCGATTAACCGTTCGTCCGTTACAGCTTATTTAAGTTAAGTGATTTTAGGCCAAATTTCTATTGTCATTTGACTGTATTAAATACAATAGTCATTACTTTTATTTGCTGTAACATAAACCAAATTTTATAGATCAAGTAAAATGACAGGTAAATTAGCTATAACAATTTACTATGCACTAAATGAGTGATAACAATAATAGATTCAAACCGGGTTTTCGGTGTATTATTAATAGCTAATGTAATAAACCAAAAATAAAAAGAAATAAATAAAAAAGAAATAGAGAAAAAATAGAAAATTAGAGAGTGAATAAAAAGAAATTAGGGGTACTTAGTAAATTATTATAATCATTATTTATTATAAGTTTTTGTAATTTTAATGTAGATTTAATTGTCTTCAATTTTATTTAAATTAATTTTCTCATTAATTGTTTCTCTCATTAATTATTAATGGTTTATCACGCAATAGATTGTTGGAAGTTCGAAAGCATAGGTTAAATTGTACTTATCTTACGTCCTGTGTAATACAATAATATTTTAAGTAATCCAGTGTTGATTTCCGTATTAAACACACTACGTATACGATTTACACTATATGTCATATAGTCTATATAATTGATTACAAAAAAAACGACTCAAGACTTTAAATAATATGATTTAATTACACAAAGTCTAAGACTGATCTTACTTGTAAAAGATTTTAAACACTCTGTATTTTATTATAAAAACAATTTTGATTTTTTTTTACTTATTGATTTTTTTACGTTTATTGAATAAGTATTTTTTTTAGAGAGTATATTTTTTTATTGAGAGATCGATACCAATATTTCTTAAATTTTCTTCTGGCCTGGCCAAAACAAGATTCAGAAATATCTATATCTATGTAAAAAAATTATCATNTCTATATCTATGTAAAAAATTTATCAAGGCAGAATTGTGGTGGCCCAATGTGTCCCGGTGCTAAAATAAAGCACCTTGAAAGGATGCGGCACAATAATAACCAAGACAAAAATTAAACAATTAAACCAAAACAAAATTCACTTTAAAATTTCTAAGTGTCATTTAGTTTTAAAGAAAAATATTCTAAGTCCAAATTAATTAAAAAATCGACTAAGTCCCGGAGAGTGAAATCTTGAGTAGAGTGTCGAAGATTTTGTGTATTTTAAAATCGTCAAAAGAACTGGTTTAGAAGGGGAAAAATCGGTTTTTATAGTGTGAAGGGGATAGCCCAGCGATCTCTACCGTGATTCTAGAAGCTGAGGCTCTGTATCTAATTGGTTAATTAAAATGGGGTCCCAGCGTGTAGGCGTTACTTAATAATTTCTACAAGAGGGAGATTTTATCGTATAGTTAAAGGGTTATTTTGTATTTTAAATAAGAGAATCCTGTTTTGGTGATCTTGTATAATCATAATATGTGACATACATGAACAAATGATAACATCATATTATATATTAATATTATATGTAATAATATAATATTACACTAAGTCTATGGTTTTGTAAAACTAAAGGAACTAACAAAAATGCCGGTTGCACTGCCACCGATATTATGAAACGGAATAAATGACAATATTTTTTCTGGAAGTCAATATCTTTTAACCATTATAAAACGTAAACGGTTGTTCAGACAAAAAAAATTATATGAAGAAAATTGTTTGTAATTTTTTTTCTATCATATTATCAAATCAAAAATAGTGGTTCCCATTTAAAAAATATATAAATAAAAATTTTTATTCCTGAAGGGATAAAAATAAAATTTATTCAATTTCAT